CGAAGATAAAATCACTTGTTCAAGGGTGAAATTACCAGTCGCATATGCGCAGCAGAGTTCACCAATTGAATGACCAACGACAAAATCTGGCACGATATTTACGGATCTTAAGAGATCGATTAATCCCACCTAAAAAGAATAAAATATTTTTTTCTATTATTATCAAGAAACATTTACAGAAATTGTGCGCATATAATTTGTAAAAACAATTTACCTGCATTACGGTGATGCCCACAAGTGAATTCAATATGTCGTTAAAAGTATCTTTATGTTTACTCGTTAATATGTCAATGATATACATTCCATGCATTTTTAAAATCGTATCGCATTTTTCTATGGTTTTGGAAAATACTGGGAATCGCAGTAGCGCTTGACCTGTTAACATGTAAATTCGAGTTTAATTGCAAGCAATCACTTCTCTAACATACTGAAAAAAAATCCGTACCCATGCCAATCCATTGCGATCCAATTCCGGAGAACACAAAACAAATCGGTCTTCTTTCACCTGAATAATATTGTATTTCATTTGCCGCTTTGATCGGCGTTTTAGATTCGACAATCACGTATCCTCTGTAAGGATGATTTTTCATCTCGTCAGCGTAAAGATCATGCAATAGCCGTACATATTCGACGTCTATCGGCCGGTTCTCGATCTAACATACAAATTTTTGCGGTGTAAGTGTGCTTTTATTGACTGTGTAACCGCAAAATTTTTATATACCTCATTTAGAAATGATTCAACTGCTTGTTCGGTACGTCCAGACAGGACAACGAGTCTGGGCAGATTATCATTCGGAGCTCCTTTGTTGATCTTATCCTTTGTGTTACTTCGCATCAAGATGTGGCAATTGGCTCCACCAAAACCAAACGAATTGATACCTATAAATTCAGAAGTCCACGGTGTTGTGTTGGTCACCACGCGTATGCTTCCATCTTCTAAAGCCTTAACACCTTTCCGTATTTGTGTGAAGTTTATATTTGGCGGGATTAAGCCAGTTTCCATTGCAATTATCACCTTACGAAAAGTTAATTAAATGCTAACTTGTTGCTTCTTATCTTTTTATTAAATTATTTATTAATTGATAAATGTTTTTTATCTTTTTATCATGATACTATTAATGATTTTGCAGCGAAAAAAATGTTATAGAAGTTTTTGTTTGTAAAGTATAAAAATTTCATTAATTTACGTTCATAAAAATTTCATTAATTTACGATCATTAAAGTCGACGGCTATTATTACACGTATAATAATTATTATTACCTTAGCAATTTGACACATGCTACTAGCAGCTTCAGAATGGCCCAAGTTTGACTTGATAGAGCCGATTAATAGAGGAGTTTGCCTGTTCTTGCAGAAAACCTGCTCGAGTGCATTGATTTCTTCTGGATCGCCAACATAAGTGCCGGTGCCGTGAGCCTCCATGTAGCCTAAGCAAGTCGGTGAAATACCGCATTCATTGTAAAACTCTTCAAGTAAAGTTTGTTGCATTTTGCTCGACGGGAAAGTAATGCCTTGTTCCTTGTATCCGTCACAGTTAGTTTTCGCATAGATGACGGTTGCATAAATTCTCTTAGCCACCTTTGCTTTTTGTAAAAATGCGACTCCGATTGTCTCGCTACGCATATAACCGTTTGCATCGTTGGTAAAAGGTTTGCAGAATCCGTCAGGTGCTAAAATTCCTGAAATTGTAAAATTATATTAGAAAATCTAATTTTGATGTATATTTATATATATTCCAAATTATTTTGATTATAATAATTTTTATATTTTTCAATTATCTCCTATATTCTAAATTAATATTTCAATAAGTATAATACCGAGTCGCGCAAACTGCAATGCCATATAAGGATTAAGGCAGAGATTTACACTGCCGACAATGGCAGCGTCACACTGCCCTGACCGTATACTTCTATAAGCGCACTCTAAAGCGAAGAGACTTGAGCTGCACGCGGAATCGAGTGTGCAAGATGGTCCTGTTATATTTAACCAGTAAGACATCCGATTTGCGTTTAGAGTCTTGTAACATTCGAAAGCTGCGGCTACCTGATGTGTATACAAAAATAGTTTAGAGAATTTAAATGTTCATTGTATCAGCATTGTACGAGCTGATTTACAAACAAATAAATTTTTTATAATATAATATAAAAATGTTATTTTTCCAAATTTTTATGCTATAAGCTTGTGCAATGTTCTTGTTTGAATAATAAGTAATTTTTTGTACCTGTGGTTTTTCAAATAACCAAGTTTTCTCTGACTCCGACGCGCATATTCCAATAAAAATTCCAGTTTTTGTTCCAGATAAATTTTTCGGATTTATTCCTGCATCGACGATAGCTTCATACGTATGCTCCATGAGCATCCTACTCATAGGATCCATGAAATGGACTTTGTTGAAGGGAATTTCAAAATAATCTGCATCGAACTTTTCGATATTATTAATCAGTCCCATACGTTGAGGCAAATCTGGGTGACCTGTATATTAAACCGTATGTAATAAGTGAACAGTTATTTTCGTTCCAACTAATATACAAGTTTAGATAAAAAAAAGTTATTGCAATGAATAAGAAATTAAAATAGAACAGTAATTTTATACATATGTTACTATGACATATTTTCAATATAATTTTTTATTCATAGACCGAAGAAGATTTTACCATGATTCCATCGTCGTTCCTCATCTGATCCAAGATCCACTTTGTTAAATAGGTTTTCTTGAAGCTGGCTAATATTATCAGATTTAGGAAATCTACCGGCGATGCCAGAAATAACGATGTCATCTTCAGATTCGACATCAATGACCGTGGATTTTTTATTTGAGTTCATGTCAAACCCAACGACAGTAAGTTTTACTTTTCTGGTTAACAAAGTCTCAATATCAGCAAATTTGTATATATTTTAAATGATTTTATTTTACGTTTTTACATTTACACTACTTTTTTCTTAATTTTTAATGATAATATTTGAGTGAGATTTTGAAACCCAACTTACGCGATTGCCTGTGCGGCTGGCGTAACACTAGTTAGTAGCCCACCTTAAAACTTTACCTGTTTTTATAAAGAAGACATATGTTAATTATTTCATTACTCCTTATGCAGGCACATTATAAATTTACTATTTAAAAAACAATTGATTGATCTCAATAATAATTAATAGTTTGTAATCATGAAACTTTAATGCCACGTATTTCAAATTATTTGCAATCATTGATCTGTAATAGTAAATTCTCTTATTTATTTTACTATTTGTTGCATTGAGGGACCCAAAAATATGATATGGAAATAAGAGTTTGGAGACCAATTGTATATATCTAGTAGAAAATTATTATAATTTTTAGTTATATGAGCTAGTTACATAATAAATTACATAATTCTAAATAAAGAGAACTACACTTGTTTTAGGATTAGTAAATTTTTTTACCGTAAGAAACAATATATCTCTTTAAATAAACATGTAATTAATGTAAACGTAGTTTAATGCGTTTAACCTTTTGAATACAATAAATGCGTATATATCCCGCAAATACAATTGATATAGCCGACGAATTCATATTAACATTTGGCGAAAACGATCGATGAGGTCGATGAAAATATGCAAAATAAAATTTAAAAATAAAGTACAGATAGTCTGAAAGAAAAGGCAACAAGAGCCGTTGCTAGATTTTCGTGCCACTAAAATTTACATTATATTGTAAAAATTATAAAAACCCGAGAATAAATGGTGTAATATGGTCAGATATAAAAATATATAATTAGTTATGAAAAGATCTAATAACATATGTAATTTTATATGATCATATAAAATTCAGGTTTTTTCATAACTAATTGTATATATTTACATCTGCACAATTATATTATTTTTTTTCAGGAATTACAAACGTTTCTGCCTGTGTTAGGCCTTCTTCAGTGTCGTTACAAATAAAAATTTTAATAAAACGGTATTACAAGAGTCGAAGCGTTTAGTAAACAAATAAGGCAAATTACACAGAATATTCTTTGTAATAAATAATTTCCATTATAGAAAGATTGGTAAAATGGCACTGCAACAATATTGCTTGTGTAAAATAACAATTTTGTTTTTTTAATAAAAAGATTATAAACCTGTGATACATACTTGTAATTAAACGCCGGATCTATATGTCCAATAAAAAATGGAAGAGCCAGAGAATAGTATTATCTATCAAAATGCCTTCAAAATTCGTAGTGGAATTGTTTGAAAAAACCGAAATGTCACTAATTGAAACAGAACAAATAGTTATACTAAGTCGGTTGAAATGATAGTGTTCGGAAAAATTATAGCTCAGGCTCTTGTGAGTGCCTGAAGTGGAGAATTAAGGAGGGGGTTTTTTGTGATAAGAAAGAGAGGAAAGAAAGAGTAGGAAGGAAAGAAGGGGAATAGGCGGGGTGGAGAGAAACATGGCTCCATAATGGTGGAAATAAGTTTAGAACCTGTTGATAAGCTTCTGGTAAAGAATCAGTATCGCTCTGTTTATTTAAGCCTTTTTTCTGTCTTTTTATGAAAAGCATCTCTGAAGTGAGTCTTTTCATATAAGGAGGTTCCTTATCTAATATCTGGATGTTATTCCAATCGAATTCATGGGTGGAATCTAATTTGTGATGAGAAGTGACAGAGGAAGAGCTATTTTTTTGTTTATGTCCGTCCTGTGTTTTTTTATTCTTGTATTTGATTGTCTTTTTGTCTGTCCTACATAGGTAGCCTCACACTCCAAACATGAAATTTTGTAGACTACACCACAGTGAGACAGAGAGTTTAAATTATCTTTCCCCGTTTTAATGAATCTTTTTAAAGTACAGTCAATAGTATTGCATTAACCTTTGGCTAAGGCTAAACAAGACGCAGAGCTCTACACAACTCTGTCGAAAAACACAATTTAACGAGATTAGTAGCGCGATCCGTATTTCATTATTGCATTTGTTATGTATTTCTTATCGTATCTATGTTAGTACAAAATAGTTTTTGATAATGCTATATCAAGAAGAGAAAATTATTTTTCCAAAAATATTTTATGTTAAGGGGGAACACCACGGTGACGGTTTCAAAAAATCGATTTTTTTTTTGCATTTTTGTGATGTTTGGAGTCTTAAAAATATGTTCCTATAATATTATGGTAAAATTCGTAACGAAACTATAGTAAATATGTCATAAAGTAGAATTTGGTCAGATGCCGCTAGTAAAACCGGCCGCGCGCTACCTGAAAAGATTCGGCAGTCCCCTTGATCTGTCTGTAGGGAGTTTTACCGGTATTCTTTTGTTGTCTACGTGCTTGAGTTCTTATTGCTTCAGAAGGCACTTCATATGCACCGGATTGGACGCACTTTGGTTCGTTACAAAATTTTATCGTTTTATATGAACCAATTAGTTGTAAAACTTTAAACGCGTTTTTCTCGAAACCACGTTTTTGTAACTGGGCGCTCTCATATCTCGGCCAATTTTTATCCGAATAACTTGAAATTTGGACAGAATGTTCACAACAAAATTGTCTTCAGTTGCACGTACGGATTTTTCAATCGGATTATTAGTTTTTGAAAAACAATTAA